CTGCAGTGGCCCTAACTCTACGGTGGCCCTAACTTTACAGTGGCCCTAACTCTACAGTGGCCCTAACTCTGCAGTGGCCCTAACTCTGCAGTGGCCCTAACTCTACGGTGGCCCTAACTTTACAGTGGCCCTAACTCTACAGTGGCCCTAACTCTGCAGTGGCCCTAACTCTGCAGTGGCCCTAACTCTACGGTGGCCCTAACTTTACAGTGGCCCTAACTCTACAGTGGCCCTAACTCTGCAGTGGCCCTAACTCTGCAGTGGCCCTAACTCTGCAGTGGCCCTAACTCTACAGTGGCCCTAACTCTGCAGTGGCCCTAACTCTGCAGTGGCCCTAACTCTGCAGTGGCCCTAGCTCTGCCCCTGGCTGTAATGAGTGGAGCCGCAGCCAATAAACACTCAGTTCCCCACCAGCTGACCTCAAACTAATTATGTCAAAATAAATTCAAACATTTGTTTGAAAAGTTGTAACAGGAAGTTTTATTTTATAAACTCAGAGTTTTAATTAGAAGAACTGCAGATAAAATATAAACCTGAACTGTACAAAATAAAACCATTTGTTTCATTTATTGAGAAGTGGTTCAGGTTCACAGAAACTTTTTAAATGAAAATTAATCTGATCCAGGAGATAAATCCTGCTGATGTCAGGTTCATCCAATAATTCTGAGTTTATAAAACGTCAGATTAATTCAAAGTAATGTTCAACAGCAGCTGCTACCATTACACTGTGACCATGGTGACAGATTCAGAGTTCCACTAAACTCATTTAGTTTAAATTAACTCAAGATTAAACTCATTTAGTTTGAACTAACTCAAGATTAAACTCATTTAGTTTGAATAACTCAAGATTAAACTCATTTAGTTTGAATAAATCAAGATTAAACTCATTTAGTTTGAATTAACTCAAGATTAAACTCATTTAGTTTGAATTAACTCAAGATTAAACTCATTTAGTTTGAATTAACTCAAGATTAAACTCATTTGGTTTGAATTAACTCAGGATTAAACTCATTTAGTTTAAATCAACTCAGGATTAAGAACTCTTAGTTTAAATAAACTCAGGATTAAGAACTCTTAGTTTGAATGAACCCAGGATTAAGAACTCTTAATTTGAATTAACTCAGGATTAAGAACTCTTAGTTTGAATAAACCCAGGATTAAGAACTCTTAGTTTGAATTAACTCAGGTTTAAGAACTCTTAATTTGAATTAACTCAGGATTAAACTCATTTAGTTTGAATTAACTCAAGATTAAACTCATTTAGTTTAAATTAACTCAGGATTAAGAACTCTTAGTTTAAATTAACAGGATTAAGAACTCTTAGTTTAAATTAACTCAGGATTAAGAACTCTTAGTTTAAATTAACTCAGGATTAAGAACTCTTAGTTTAAATTAACTCAGGATTAAACTCAAAGGGCCTCATGCAAGAAC